TGTGTAACAAACGAAACTTTCCCTAAAGCGTTTCTAAACGTTTAACTTTGCTTCTTAGAATGTCAATTTTGGTTTAAAGTTGTCCAATAAGATCTTCGAATAATTTTTCAAGTAAAGTTTTAATATCCTCTGGATTGGTCATTCTAATAAAACGAAGGTCACCAAGGTCACTTGAGAAACTCGGGAAGCGGTTGGTCACGAACATTAAATTTAGTAACCAGGAAAAAGATGTTCCTACGTTCATGCATTTATTTGCTTTGCTAAAGTCATGGATGTGCTGAGCCTTGGCAAACCCAGCCGTGTCGACGGGCTGCCACGACTGAAATGAAATATTATCAAATAGTATGTTTGTTATGATAAGCAGCCTATTGGTCGGTGGCAGTCTACTGTTGTCACTGGAGTATATTGATTACTGCATAAGTTTTACTCGGTTTGTTTATCGATAAGCTTTGCAAACTGTAACGTTCTTTGTGTTCATCACTGTAGGATAATTTCACACAGAAGTCTGAAAGTATGTGTGTTTATCAGAGACGTGACAAAAGTATTATGTAGAATTGAAGTATGTACAAAATTATTATGTAGAATGAAGGCCTTCTGTTAGTTGTTTTTAGTTTTAGTAAGGTTTTACGGCGCTCGTAACTGCACGAGGTCATACGAGCACTAGCCTACTAGATCTACTTAATTATGCTTTTCAGTTATTTTCATTGTGTATATCGATAAGCTTTAAAATCAAACTTAGCCTAGTTTCATTTCCAATGACATTTCTTTGATAATATTTGTTTCCACACACTCAGATGTATCATTTTTTTAAAACATAATTACCTTGAACTTTATTTAGGCCAACATTTTGATAACAAGAGAAGTGGATACAACGAGAAAACTTGTGTACCACTCTCTCAGTAGCTGCGGACGTGTCGGCTCATAACTTCAAATGGTGGATGTTAATGGCGATAGTTTGTAAGGAGATGGGAGGGGGTGGCATTACAATGAACAAGAAATGTAATGAATGTGGAAGATGGACACCTATCATTAAGGCCTTAGCTAATACTTCTGGGTTTCATGCAAGCTGAGTCTCTGGCTTGCCCTTTTCATGGTACAAAAATCCAGGACATGTTATTGTCAGTGTGTACATCAATAAAACAATACAGTCCTGGAATTTCTGTAGCAACAACTGACTACCTGCCTCATTCACATACAACAGAACTTATATATATATATATATATATATATGTCCCTCAAAGAAACATGAGAATCACTAATCTTGTCGTACATGGCTTCAAATCTGACGTCACATTGTTCATACGTTTGGAACACGTTACTTTTTAATTGTTCACCGAGTTTGATTGTTTTTTGTTGTTGTTTTTTTCTGTTTTCTTCAACGTTTTGCCCATGTCATATTTCGCGAACCTTTTGAAATCTTCTTTGAAAATCGTCAAAATCGGGAATTCAAGTTGTGCACGAAGAAAACCGGTTTTCAGTAGTATTATTGGATGTGTAACATTATTTTGAGAGAGCAAACGGTATCACAAAGGCTTAAAGAATCCGTGGAATGACGGGGAAGTAAGAAGAGACGAGTCGGACTTCAACAGTTCGTCAGAGTCAATTTGACGATAGCCAAACAACGGGTACAGGTCTTTGCAGCTCTCGTCAAACGCCTGAACAGTTTTAAACTCAGCCTTTTTCCGCCATCGATTCATCGTGGCTGTGGAATTCTTTTTCTCGTACCCGTAACTGTTTTCCTCCAACTTTTTACCAGATTTGGACGAAGACACTATTCTGGTGACGAATTCTTCCATGTCGCGATCGAATTCGTTTCCCAGAAATTTGTAGATATTTTTGGCAAACCGCATGGGTTCTACAGCGCCGTCTTCGTACCGTATCGCCATGAGGCGTCCTGGGTAGAGCGAGCTGAGGTTTTGGAAGCTGCTCACATCCCCTCGGACCTCGTCACAAAACTCTTTGGACTTTGGAGCTGCGGACTTGTTGGGGTCAAAGTTCTGGAAGTTGGCAGCTTGGGAGTAGAGGGTGGCTCTGGGGTCACTGAGGGCAGAAAGTTGTTTGTTTTCATTTAGAGAATGAGAAGATGCATATAAACGTGTTCACGACCGGTCACGACCGATTAGCACAGGGGAAAAGTTCGACAGACGAGAAATACAATTCAGCCCTGTAAATTTTAGAGCAAGTTTTACGACACTTGTAACATATTAAGGACACATTATAATTGTCGAAGATTACAGGTTTGTCTTCTAAGAGAGTAACATACTTAACTAAGGAAAAGGGGAGAGATAAGAAAAATAGGTGTTTGATTGAAAAGAAAGAGCTTACGACACCAGAGCACCAGCTAACTAATCACACGGATCGCCAGAAACCGCAGAATGATTTTGTTTACTAAATATGTAGGGCCTACGAGAGATGTCCTCCAGCCATTCGGTGCGGGGATGGAGAGAGAGAGGGGGGGGGAGGAGGAGCAGGGCGAGCTTTGGGAGGGGGGTACTGAATAGAGAGAAATGAGAAGCAAACTGACACAATAGAGGTCATTTAGTGCAAGGCAAATGCAAAAGCAAGACAGACTGGGGGCGTTTTGTGGAGTTTTCGAGGCTCTCAACCATTTGAATTGGTCCTATTGTCGACGGACGTTAAATTCGGAGGTTCCACTCCTTAAATAATCTAATAGCATTGCTAGCGAGTTCAACGTAAACAGAAAAACAGAAATATGATCAAATTATAGAAGCTGCCAATACACACTCTGTCCCATTTCCCCAGATTTATATGGGATCGACTCATCCTACGATCATTATTATCTTAAACGCTGCCAATAAAGTATCAGTCCCATTTCCCCAGTTTTATATGGGATCGACTCATCCTACGACCACCATATATTAGACGCTGCCAACACACCATCTGTCCCCTGTACCTAGCTAAATGGGATCGATTGATGTACAGAAAAGTGGGAAGACATGGAACGACACCAAGAGGCTAGTCCAGATTAGGAAAAGGTGGAAAGGGTTTGCTCGTGGCCTATACCCTGACCTAGGGTTAGAAAGGCAATTATGATGGGATTGCCAGCAGCTATACACAGCGAAAAATCTTGTCAGTCTGTTGACCCTATCCGTACGTTGTGTTTTATTTATCGAATCCATACGACGTGGGGATCTCTGTGCCAGCACTTTCAAAGAGGAAATTTACTCGTTTATCCGATTTGTACGCTTTGCGTAGCAGTCTGTCTAAATAATTTTTTGAAAAATACAGAAAGTATCAAAGAGATCTTCGTGCTAGAAGTATTCCTAAATGTGAGGAATACAACCCCGGGGGTACAAAATGACCCCGGGATGTACGGATAGGGTTAAGGGCTTAATCTCCTGCTTACGCTGTTTGCTTTCCGGGAAGGTGAGAATATTGCTGAGTGTTCATTGGTCTGCAAGGTAATAATAATAAATAGTGTAAAGTGCACAGAGCTTGTTGGTGAGCGGTGATATGCGCCGTACAAATGATGTTCATTATTATTATTATTATATATATATATATATATATATATATATATATATATATATATATATCTATATATCTTATATATATATATATATATATATCATATCATATCATATCATATCATCATCTCTCTTTTCTCTCTCTCTCTCTCTTCTTCTTCTTATTCTTATTATTCTCTCTATATATATATATATATTATTATTATTATTATTATTATTATTATTATTATTATTATTATTATTATTATTATTATTATTATTATTATTATCATCATCATCATTATTATCATTATTATGATTATCATTATTATGATGATGATTATTATTATTATTATTATTATTATTATTATTATTATTATTATTATTATTATTATTATTATTATTTTATTATTATTATTATTATCATTATTATGACTATTATGTTTATCATTATTATTTTTTTAAATTATTGTTATTGTTGTTGTTGTTGTTTTTGCTGCTGTTGTTGTTGTTTTTTTTGCTGCTGCTGTTGTTGTTGTTGTTGTTGCTAATTATCATCATCATTGACTCACCGTATAAGGAAAAGAACCTTGAGGTTGGGCATGCGGTCCAGGAACCAGGCGGCCCACCACATACGGACCCGTATTGTCTTCACGTACGTCACGTTACTGGCGGTGCACAGATCCCACATGTGGAGGAAGCAGCCCACGTAGCTCACGCCAGCTTTCTTCTGCAGGCAAACAGAGACGGGCAAAAAAAGAAAGACAGCTTTTTTTTAAAAAATCGGTATCTTAGAATTACAATTAAGGTTGTATCTGACATTTTGGCCGTTTTGAATTACTAAGCTATTGAGGTTAGAAACCAAATATTCTATCAAATAAATAAATGAAACAAATAAATAAATAAATGTGGCGTCGGTGGACTAATTAGGCTACCGGACTCGTAATCGTGAGGTTGCGGGTTCGGGGGTTCGAACCGCGAGCCCGACGTTGTGTCCTTGGGAAAGGCACTTTACTCGAATATTCCTCACTTGAGCCAGGTGAGAATGGGCACCCGGCCATAGACAGTGAAAAATCTTGGCAGTATGTTAGTGTTTTATCGCCTATTAATGGCTGCTTGCACTGTATGTTTCCTAGGAAGTTGTGGTTGTTTCAGAATGCTCTCAGGTCTGCTGGGGTAATAGCACAGATTGTGAAGCGCATTGAGCTTGCTGTTGAGGGGGCATTTGCGCTTTACAAATGCTATCTATGATTATCTATTATTATTAAATAAATAAGTCAATCAATCAATCAATCAATCAATCAATCAATCAATCAATCACTAAATAAATCAATCAATAAATAAATATTTTTTTAGAATTGAAAACTGTCCCTCCCTCCCTCTCTCCCATTTAATATGAACAAGAGGTGCCGATGTTTACCAGAAGGCCCCACCATTTACCTGATTCTCTATACACCTCTTGAAGTCGTAGGTGGAGTTGCTGGACAAGAACATGATGGATGAGTAGGTCTGGGGATCGATAGCCCTGAAGTCACACTCTAGGAACGCGCGGATCATGTCCAGAGCTTTCAGTCGTGTCCTTTCGCTGGAATAAAAGAAGAAAAGGCTTGATTAATGTAATATCGGGTGCCCATTGATGGCATGATCGGGTCGGGTCGGGTCGTGTCAGTTTGTTAGCCAGATTGAGGACGCAAAGCGGTTATCGTGCAACAAACCGGTCGCCCGACTCGTTATCTCAAAAACAAACGCGTTTGTTTTAAGGCCACGAGTCGGGCGACCGACCCGCAATGGGCACCTGGTATTCGTGTCCTCCATGATGTAGTCTTATCGCACAGGTGCCGAAAGTAAATTTTACAGAGGGAGGGGGGGGGGAGCGAGTTTACTAATATATTCAACCCTCTTCTTACAAGGCGATTTTTATGCTAGGGCAAAGCTTAAGCACCTCTCTAAATAATGTCACCTTCTGTATGCTTCCCGGGAAGCTGAGAATGTTTCGGAGTGTTCTATGGTCTGCTAGGGTAATAATATAGTGTAAAGCGCATAGAGCCTGCTGTTGAGCGGGGATATGCGCTATACAAATGCTATCTATTATTATTATTATTATTACAAGAGACATTTCTTCGCCTTTTCTTAGCTAATTAAAATGTTTCAGTAATTTGGTGCTTATACGGGTAGAAGAGACCTTTACTATTTGCCTTTTGAAGCGAATTAAAATGTTTCAGTAATGTGTTGCTTATACCGGTATACTGCGACAGGGTGAAGTATTTTTACCCTCCATCCACACAATCTAGATCTTTTAGCAGGCGGGCTAGTTGAGCGCTGTACTTTAATCGCTTTCCTCCATGCTGCTAACTGAAAACCATGAATGCGAAACAACACAACACGTCAGAGTGTGTTTCAATGTTCGGTGAAATTGTTATCTCTCTCAGTTCGGTATGTTCCTAACAGGCAGGGTTAAAATCTCGCCTCTTAAATTAATTACCAGAATGTGAGTGTGTGTTTATTATGTGTTATACTATAAGCAGTTAATTTATCATAATCATTACCCTTTTCTTCTTCCTCACCCTTCACCTCCCCTTATTTGTCCCGATGATGATGATGATGATGATGATGATGATGATGATGATGATGATGATCCTCCCTCTCTCTGCCCCCCTCTCTCCTCTCTCTTTCTCTCTTTCTCTCTCTCTCTCTATCTATCTATCTATCTATCTATCTATCTATCTATCTATCTATCTGTCTATCTATCTATCTATCTATCTATCTATCTATCTATCTATCTATCTAACTACAATTACATACACCTCTCCTTCTCTCTCTCTCTCTCTCTCTCTCTCTCTCTCTCTCTCTCTCTCTCTCTCTCTCTCTCGCTCTCTCTCTCTCTCTCTCTCTCTCTCTCGCTCTCTCCCATCACGTCATTATCTTTATCATCGTCAACACCAGCCTTATCCTCCTCCTCCTCCTCATCATCATCACCACCAACCCCACCACCTGAGAGGAACTCACGGAAGAGGTCTGTCGTATATACCGTAGGAGTCTGGCATGCGATGTAGAGGCTCTGCCGTGTAGAACACGCTGTTGGGGTGGCTGGAGGAGGGGGGGCAGGGAGAAAAGAGGGGGGAAATAGGATAAAAACGTAATAATAATGTTAATGTTAATGATAATGATAAAAATAATATTGATATTGATAATGAAAATGTTAAAGAAAATGATAATGTTAATGATACTGTTAATGATAACGTTAACGATAATGATAATGGTAATGATCATGACACTGATATTCATAATTCTAATGATAATGACAACGATAATGACAATGATAATGATAGTAAAAAATATTTACGATCATGATAATAAAGAGCATTTCTATAGCGCCTACTCCCTGATGGCTCTAGACGCTTCAGACGTAGTGATGGTTGGGAAACTGACTAGAATGATGTGAAAGCTAATAGGCAAAATGTGATAAGGATGTTGTGAAAGCTGTAAGGGAAAATATGATAATGATTTAGTGATAGCTGGGAAACTGTGATTAAAACGTAGTAATAGCTAAAATAGGAAAAATGTGATAGGTATGTTTAGTGAAAGCTGGAAAAATATCATAAGAAGGTAGAGGTAGCTCGGGGAAGTAGAATAAGAACGTGGCTATACCTGGGGAAAATGTGATTATATGAGGTCACTGTTTTGTGTGCTCGTCAAGATTATGTAATAATATAGTAGCGATAATAGGAATTGGAGAGTGGGACTGATATCGGCAGCTAATCTACAAATTTTGTTCTGACCCCGTGTTGACTTTTGGCCGAAATCTTTATTGGCTGATTGCGAGAAGTAACTCATTTACATGTATTTGTCAGGACACACTTCACTAATGTGAGTAAATACTGTGTACCTGATGATGGCAGAAGTGAATGTAGAGCCACTCCGGCCATATGTGATGAGCAGGATTTGCTTCTTTTCAGGTTTGGCGGGCAAAAGTTTGCCTGGGACGTTCTCTGGTTCGTAGCTCGGAGGGAGCCACTGATGTGCTACAGAAGCATCTGTGTGAGAATGATGTAACAATAGGTTTGTGAGAGGGCGTGTAGAGTGGAGACTGTAAGGGCTGAGAATGATGATGATGATGATGATGATGAGGATGATGATCATGATGATCATGATGATCATGATGATCATGATGATCATGATGGTAATAATCATCATCACCACCATTATCATCATCATCACCATCATCACAACAATAACAACAGCAAGAAGAAGAAGAAGAAGAAAAAAAGAAGAAGAAGAAGAAGAAGAAGAAGAAGAAGAAGAAGAAGAAGAAGAAGAAAAAGAACAACAACAACAACAACAACAACAACAACAACAACAACAACAACAATAATAATACATTTTTATTTAAACGATATGTTATGTATTCTTCCGACACGTACCTAGTCACACAAAGAACTCTATGTTTAGCAAAATATATATGACTAAGATCACTTTTTTTTCTAAACCCTTCAATCTCAATTCCCTCAGACCTGTTCTAATGATCACCTGTATAAAACCATCACCTGTACGAACTGCCTCTTCTGATACTGGTGATAATAATGATAATTATAAGAATATTGATAATAATGATAATAACATGGCCATCTCAAACAATATATGGCAGTCTAAGACAATATATGTTCGTCTCAGACAATATGTGGCCGTCTTCGACAATATCTGGCCGTCTTACACAGGTCCAACTGTACGTACAAAGCTCGAAGATGAGAACAGCAGCCAGCATGAGCAGAAGGGCCTTGAGGCTGTAGAGGACGCGGGTATGTCGACACACGGCGCGGGCTTCCTGGTCAGACATGAGCACGCCGCAGAGGAGACTGCTGGAGAAGATAGAACATTGGACATCTGAGAACTAGACTCATGGAGATGACAGAACATTGGACATCTGAGAACTAGACTGCTGGAGAATACAGAACATTTGATGTCTGAGAACTAGAGACAGAACATTGGACACGTGAGAACTAGAGACAGAACATTGAAGTCTATGAACTAGACTGTTGGAGATGATAGAACATTGGACATGTGAGAACTAAACTGTTGGAGAAGACAGAACATTGGAAATCTGATAATTGGACTCCAGCACGACACACAACATTAACATCTGAGAACTGGACTCTAGAACGGAACACTGGACATCTGAGAACTAGAGCTAGACCCCAGTACAGAAGTTGAACATCTGAGAACTAGACTCCAGCACAAAACATTGAACATCGGAGGACTACACTGTAGCACAGAAGTTGAATAACCGAGAACAAGACGCCAGCACAGAACATTGTACATCTGAAAACTAGACAGTACTGTTGTCAATCTTTGCTGGATGGATAATAACGATTTTTAAAAACGTGGACTTCGGTTCATATATTTGATTTGGGACACCTGCAGTTGTTGTTTGTTGTTGTTGTTGTTGTTGTTGTTGTTGTTGTTGTTGTTGTTGTTGTTGTTGTTGTTGTTGTTGCTGCTTTTGTTTTTGTTATTGTTGTTGCTGTTGTTGGCGGAGAGAGGTTGTTATTTTTTTCTCGCTACACTGTTAACGGTAGAGTGTCATCCAAGACTAAAGGTCTCGGGTGTCATGTCTAGTTTTCTCTGTTGCCAAGAACAACCAAGGTAGAACATTCTTTTTGATTCAATGATATAGATCATTTAAAGGCGGGCTGCTCCGATCCTGCCTGGCAGACCCAAACCGAGCTGAGAGGGATACAATCTTTGCTCAGACAGACGGACCTATCTGCACGAGAATTCAATCTTATGTCTTTTGTGTGCGCCACAGACGCTGGTAACCGACAAAATAATAACCATCAACCAAGAGATACCAAGAACTCGACGTGCTGAAATGCTGTTTATTACCCAAATATAGAGATAAGAGTAGGCTTCTGCCGCCATCCGGGTAAAATTTAATATTTCCTTCCAACTGAAAATAGTTGGTGTGTCCCGTGTGCTCAAGGCCTCATACAGTTGCGAGCCCCGAAAAACACTTACCCCTCAAAAAGTCATTCTATAAACGTGTAAGTACATGTACACGATATCCTCGACTACAGGGGCGATTACGTCCCAGACTCAAATTTTGCCTTTTTGGGCTAGGCATAGTCTGGTTCTCGGGTCTACAATTATCTCAGAAAAAAATGGTTTTGTTTAGTTTTTGGGTCTTTAAGAGTTTTATGGAACTTGCCACACAATTAGGTCATGTTAGATCCGAAGATTAGGGGTGTTACAAGAGAGTAACATACACAGATAAATGAAGTAGAGATCAGAAGAATGGGTGGG